ACATCTCCCACTCATAACAATCATTGATGAAATCCCCCATAATCGGACCGCATTAATTTCCCATCTTCACCTCTAATCCAACATGGGTAATTATCATCTTCTATAGGGGTACTTTCGTAAACCTCACTCGCACATGCATACAATACAAAGACCAGGCCTACTACGTATACTTGTTTCCTCTCATTTAATACCCCGCCATCATTTGACTGCTCCCTTTCTCATTTTTCCAGCTCAAACGTATTACTATTGAAAATTTAATACTTAATTAATATATACACATTTATTAATTAATAATATAGTACAAGTATATTAATTTTTATGAGCGCCTTCACATACATACATAATATACACAACTTAGAAAGAGAGAAGTTTTGAAAGGGCTTAAAAATTGAAAATATGAGTGGGTGGATGAAGTCATTACAGTGCAAGTCAAAGGCGCCGGACGACGTCGTCCACCACCACCACCTCCGCCGCCTCCGCTCCGAACCCCCGAGCCACCGCCTCCGCCACGGCCTCCGCTCCCACAGCTGCAGAAGCGGCGTTCAGAGCCTGAAAGACGTCGTCGACGCCGCCAAGAGCGAGAAGCCCAAGAAGCCTCCACCGCCGCCCCCGCCGCCTTTCAGGCGGCCCTCCATCGGAAAACCCGCCGATCCCGGCCCGAATCTCCAGCCGGGGTCGAAGCCCGGCTCATGTTTCTCGTCCCTGGCGGAGCTCCCTAAGGGCCACCCGTCGCGCAATGTGGTGGAGATAATATTCCACACAAGCTGGGGGCAGAAGGGTTTTCCGGGACGGGTCGAGATGGTGCTCAAGGTGCAGAATTCGGCCCGGACGGCGGCCCGGTTCGAGGAGTACCGGGAGGCGGTCCGGCAGCGGGCCGGCGGCGGCGGTGGGGAATCCGCCGAGGACCACTCCCGATGCGTGGCGGACGGGAACGAGGTCATGAGGTTTTACTGCCTGGGGGACACAGCGGGCGGCGGCGCGTACGAGTGCGGGGGAGGCGCGTGGGCGTTTCCTGGTGGGAAGATGGCGGGTGTGTGCACGTTTTCCGGGAGCGGCGCGGCGCACGAGAACGCCGGCGGCGGTAAGGGGCGGAGGGGGATGCTGGTGTGCCGGGTGATAGCGGGTCGGGTATGCAAGCAACTCGGGATTGACTCGTTGATCCAGGGCCGGGCGGGGTACGACTCGGTGGGTGGAGAGAAGGGGGAGCTGCTTGTGTTCGACACGCGCGGGTTACTGCCTTGCTTTATTATCATTTACCAGGTTTAATATTTTTGGTGGGGTGTGAATGTGATTTACTGATTTATTGACTCCAATTTTCTACCAATATTTGCGTGTTTTTTCTTTTTTTAGGTTATGTAATTTATCTTTGATAGTTTTGATGTTTTTGGACTTTCGTTTGGGTATAGCTTTTGCCTTTTGGAGTTGTTGTAATTGTGGAAAATTGGGTTGATAAATGTTCTTTGTATTAATTGTCTTCTCAATTTTCTAGGAAAAGAATAAATTCATTTGTCGAGTCATTTAACTTAATCATTAAATTGCCATTTAATTGCTAGTAAGAGTAGGTTTGTTTATTAAAAATTTTAATTCATACTCAAAATTTATTTAATTTTAATTTGATCTCATTATTTTTAATATTATCAATATAATTAAATAATAAGTATTAACCAATCATTTTAACACATCACATCAATTTTTATTCATTATTCATTAACTCATATAATTTTAACTAATTATCACTTTATAATATTTATCTCATACTTTTATATGAAAATAATTTTAATTATTTTATTTTAAATATTATTTTAATATAAATTCAAAATTTCACTAATAACTAACTATGTCACTTTTTTCAAAACTAACTCTAGCTAATAAAAAAAACTCATTTTTAGCAAGTCACATCCAAAAATACAAATTATTATAAATATATTTGTATATAAGCACGCCTGAATGAGAGAGCAACAAATACATCTCTCCGAAAATTCTCTGTCCTCACTAATGTGTGTTCATCCTATTGTTCAGACCCCTACCACATCGTTAAGTGAACTTTGTCCAATTAAACTGCTAAAAATGACAATATTTTAATTAATTGAACTGTTTTCAGTTATTTATTAATTTAGAACAAGTAGCTAATGAAAATGACTTAAACCGTCAAGTCAGAGATTTTATTCCGGTTTGTTAGGTAAAATTGACTAATCGGGTGGTTAAAATTGAGTAGTCGAAGTCCCTTGGCGACTAGAGTTCACCAGCATGAATCGCGAAACTGGCGTATGAGAGAACTAACAAATGTATACATGTGATGAAGAAGAAAAACACAACTTTGTATAGATCATTTATTTATTTATTTTTAAATGGTCAAATTAAATCCATCTTGCAAATTACGGTTTTAAATTTAGGGGTGATGTGCTTCATGTTCATGACATGCCGGTTAAGATTTTCAGTTGAGTCTTTGATGTAGGGAAGCGTACGAGTGAGAACGATATTAATGAGATCTCAATCTAAAAAACACCAAAACATGATAAACACTCAATTTTATATTTCATCCAATAATCAACTACCTAAAATAATAGATATGGAGTCCTTTAAATAAAGCTCCTAAACCCTATTCCTAACTTATCCAACAAGACAAGATCTCTTACTAAATATTAAATAATATTAAACTCCTAACTTATTCTCCAAAATAATAATAATAATAATCTACACCATTTTTGATTATCCACATAATTACTTGGATTAGTGTTTCCTTAAATTTGAGGGGTTTCTATTAATGATCAAGAAACTAATTTCAAGCAAGGTGTTTCTTTAATGATCAAAGGAGTCAATGAATAATTAGATATACATAAGTCAGTCAATATGAATATCATTTATGTGGACACCAATATCTTGACAAATCTTTAGTATAATTTTAGGTCAAAATACATTTCTTATTAGGGAATAAAATCGTTAATAGTTAATAAATGATATTATATTTTTGTTTTTCATTTATATTCAACATGGGTGTCTATTTCATAGATCATGAAGGGATAACTAATTTGACATCTTGCATAAAAAATGAGGCTATNCTTAATAGAATTATGTCATTATGAATAATAATCAGCATTTTGTTCATAGAAAATTACCTAAAATGAACCTCTGAAAAATACTTCCTTTAAATTTTAACCTGCTAAAAGAACCTTAAAATTGTCGAATAATTTGCCAATAATTAGAGAGATCATTATCATTAAAACAAGACACCAACATTGTTCTAGTTAAGGGTATAGAACTTAAAAGTTAAGTTACAAATTTGCTCGAAAATGCCTAGGTTTGGTGGTCGACGCTTACATTGCATCTCACACAAACATGTGATTCAGATTTATTATTTATTATACGTATGGTTAATTGTACATTTGTAATTGATTTGGTAGGTCTTTTTAATCAATTTAAGCACGCAAGATGTAGCTATATTACCTACTGTTCATCCTCTTATCATAATTGATTAATTTGCATATATCCAAACCTGATCAAGTATAAGTTAATGTCCTTAATAACACATTTGACATGTATAGCAAATATTTAAAACACTAAGAAGTTTTGCTTGTTATCGAGTAATTAGTGCAATGTATAAGATGTTTCGTTTTGTCGTGTTCCATAATAAGATCGACGTACACGAGACATCAAACACGAAAAGCTAATATCTTCATTATCCTACGAAGCAAGTCAACACAGGTCTCAAGTTTATAAAAACCGAAGAGTTGTAAAATAGACCTAGTGAACTTCAGAATCGTACTTAGTTAACAAGCCCTGGACTATAGGTTTACTGTACTTCTCATGTAGAATGAAAGTATATATAGCTGAGCAATGAGATTTACTCAGAAAAAAACAGATAGGATATAAAAATGAAAATAAGTGATATTCTCATCCAAGAATACTATTGGGAGTCCACAAGTACATAAACTGGCTTGCCATATACTCATATGGATGGACTATTTGTAGGTATTCATTTAATCAAGAATTCGGTACCCAATAAGTTAATAGCTGCAGAAAGAGTGCCTCCAGTTGCAATCAGATCATCGACTACCAAAGCACGATCTCCAGGAACAACTGCACCAACGTGCATCTCCAGACAATCACTTCCATATTCCAAGTCGTACTCTTGTCTGATAACTTCACCTGCAATAACATAATTTTTCGTTTGCATTGTAAATTTGTAATGTAGCTGAAAAAATTACTAAAGATAACAAGAAATGCTAGATAAAAAAGACTATCTAGCACACCACCAAGTACTTTGATGATTAATGTCAATAATAAAACTTACCCGGAAGTTTCTTTGGTTTCCTCAATGGAACGAACTTTGCTCCGATTGCTAATGCAATTGGCGGACCAAAAATGAAACCACGAGCCTCGACCCCTGATAATGTACAATAATATCAACAAAGTAGTTTCTAATTGGAATAGAAATTGCTGAAGTTTCTAAAGCATGCAAGCACATGCAAGAGAACAAATACAGAACAACAGGCACAACTATGAAGGAGAAAAGCCCCATATTATATGCTACACCCAAAGCAAGATGAAGTTCAATTTTTTTGGCACCAATTTCACAATTACAGCAGCAATTGTGCAGCTAATGAACTAGATGACTGAAAAAAGGTTAAAGCCCACGATATTTTTTAGTTCCTTTTGCACCATTTTCTGTTTTCTTAACATTGCTAAGACCTAAAATATATTAAACTACCGATTACAACATCCTAGACAAACTGAAAAGATGTGAAAAGGAAAAATGCTACTTAATACAGTGAAACCAACCACAAGTGGAAGGAGGCAAAAAAATAAGGTGCTACCGATTATAGTGGACGATGGACCTCACGGAAGAAAAAAAAAATATTTCCAACAATAATTTTTCATCATTGCTGGATCAGTAAAACCCAATGCCACTAAGTTAAAAATCGCATCTCGAGATTATTATACACAAAAAATTGGTTTCTTTCCTCCATCCCTGAGGCTCAGAATCAATGCATTACAAAAGGGGAACACTTCATGATATTGCTAATTCAAAGGCTTACGGTGAAAGAAAATGAACACACGCACCATTACGCTGATGGGGCCTATTGAATTAGCAATATTATGAAGTGTTTAAACCACCGAACAAATTTAAAGCTCGACATACAAAGGGGATTTGATGATAAGCACATGCCACCATTCAATAGCTTGAGCTTCTGATACATACTCATTTGTCCTATTAGAAAAAACTCCAAAACACCACCACTTTACAATGTAAATAATTGCCACACCACTGTGTATATAAAAAGAAATGACCAATTTGAACCATGAATCCGAATAAAGAAATGCATTGAGTCCGAATAAAGAAATTAAAAGAAAAACAGAAAAATGGGAAAAGAGGAAACACAAAATTACCACATGTAGAGTAATAACGTGAGCTGGAAAGATCAAACTATGGAGTAATAAAAATAAACTATAGAAGATAAAAACTGAAAGAATATGTATACCGGCAACGACTGAAACATTGCTGTTCTTATAGCGCTCAACGAACAAATCAATGGTGTCCTTGAAAGTCTTTGGATCCAGTTATGTCTTGAAACATTATCCCTGTTTCAAAAAAACAACATAATCCCTGTTCAAAGAAATGACTCCAAATGGAAAAGGCAATTTCAAGAAAACCCAAAATAAAAATTGAATCTTTGAACCGTATATAAGCCGGCCATGATAAATAAACATCACAAAAGCAACAATCTATGTATTAGCGAATATGTGAAATAAGAACAAAAACCTGGTTTGGGGAAGTTGGGCACAACACGGATTCTTGATTGTATGGCCGGAATACAAGGATCGTCGGCTTTAAGGTTTGACATTGTAATTTCACTCTGATTTTCTTTTCTTTTTTTCCTTGTATGTGGTGCTGTGTTTGTATGTACGGTACTGAAGCTGTTCTTGGTTGGGAGTGTTTGTTCACTTGTGCGTGTTTTTAATGAGAGAAAATGGAGAATCAAAGTAGAGTGTGGTATGAGTGCAGAGAGGAAAGAGAAGGTTGTGTGGGGTGTATCTGCTGAGGACTGCTGAGAATACAGTGAAAAAATCTACTTGATAAGCTAACCGGATCTTTGAATATAAAAAGATTTTGGAATTTGGAGGAATAGGATGTTTGGTTTTTGCTTTTACGAATAAAGAGAAAGATTGCGTTTTAAAAATCTTTCGTATAATTTTATCATTTTTTATTTTTTATTTTTTTCCAATGGCAAGCACCAAACTCCAAAGATAGATATATCAGTTAAAAAATGCGAACACATAACTAGGTACAGAAGTCGTAGCTTGTAATCTGACATGAAAAAACAAAGGTCACTACTCTAGCAAAATGCAAATAGTTAAATTATCAGCGGATGAAAAACTTAATATATTTTGAAAAGCAAATTTCCATGACATTATTATGTAAGGTGGAAATGAGTGTGATAAAAAAAAACGACCTTCTTTCTCATTTATTAAAAAATAGTAAAAAAATTATATTTTTTAAAAGATTTATTATAAGTTTTCACTTCTCTCTGTTTTTTTTTTCAAAATTATACCTAATATTAATTACCATTTTTTGTGAAATTCTTAAAAAGGATAAATTGCCCTAAAATTCAAGTAATAAGAATAGAAGACTTTTAGTAGTTGTTTAGTACTAGTCCGTGACTCCTTTATCAACCTAAAAATTATGCAATTCTTAAAATAGTGATTGAAGGTGGGAATTGAAGCTTCAATCCTTATATGATCAGGCTAGCTGCTGGACTATTATTAGTGAATGAGAGAAGATGCAGCATGTTGCTTATGTTATTCAAAAGTGAAGGTTGAGAATTAAAAGGTAGATATTAGCTATTTGTAAGAGTTGCCTGGAACTGCTACCAGACAGGTACTCCCATGTATTGCTTCCAAGAGAAAATTAAGGGTGTTAGGCTGCAATTACTCAAGTGGAGCTGCAAGTTCAAGTCAGAAAATGAAAAAAAAAATAGAGCACCTGCACAGGCAACTAAAAGAGCTAAGATGGGAAGGAGGACTAAGGGATTGGCAGAAATGGGACTCACTCCAGAAAGAACTCAATGCTCTCTACAAATCTAAAGAACAGTTCTGGCACCAAAAGTCAAGAATCTCTTGGCTAAAGCATGGTGACAAAAATTCCCGATTTTTTCATGCTCACACTACTCAAAGAAGGAAGAGAAACAAAATTTCAAGGCTGCTCAACGATGATTCCTCAGTGTGTGAATCCCTGGATGCTATTGCCCAATGCATTGAAGAATTCTATAAAGCACTCTTTTCCACTCAAGCCCTTCCACCAATGACCCCATTCTTGATGAAATCCCACAAGTGATCACAGACTCCATGAACACTGAGCTCATTGCTGAGGTTGATGAAGCTGAAATAAAGGCTACCCTTTTCTCCATTTCCCCTCACAAAGCGTCGGGTCAAGATGGTATGACTTCTTCTTTCTACCATCACTTTTGGAATCTGATTAAACCTGACCTGTGTACCTTAATTTCCAGCTTCTTTCATTCAGGGAAAATGCTCAAAAGTATCAATCATACTCTCATAACCTTAATTCCTAAAATAAAAAAACATGATAAAATCTCACAGTACAGGCCAATCAGCCTATGTAGTGTTACTTATAAGGTCATCTCAAAAATTCTTTTAAATAGACTTAAACCACTTCTTCATCTCTGCATAAGTGACACCCAATCAGCATTCATATCAAACAGACAGATCCTTGACAATGTTATTCTAGCTCATGAAGTTCTTCATTTTCTTAATAATCACAGAACAGGAAACTCTTGTTATATGGCTATTAAATTGGACATGTCCAAAGCCTTTGACAGAGTAGAATGGACTTGTGTGAAAAAAATCATGACTAGACTTGGCTTTCATGACTCATTTGTCATATGGATTCTGGCTTGTTTAAACTCAGCTTCATTTTCCTTCAATGTGAATGGCTCAGTCTGTGGATATATAATTCCAACCAGAGGAATTAGACAAGGGGACCCCTTGTCCCCTTACATTTTCCTATTGGTCTCTCAGGTCTTAACTACAATCATTAACAACTTCTCTTCCTCAGGGCAATTTACAGGGATTAAGATCTGCCGAAACAGCCCTACACTAACCCACCTTATGTTTGTAGATGACACACTGCTCTTCTCCAAAGCTGATGCAACTCAAGCCCACCTCACACTAAAAATCCTGAATCAGTATAATGCTATCACAGGGCAGTGTGTCAACCTACAGAAATCATCTATTTTCTTCAGCAGAAACACACCCCCTCATACCAAAAACCAAATTTGTAACATCGTCATGGGTATCCAACCTCAAACATCTGCCAAATACCTCGGCCTCCCTCTCGGCATTGGAAAAACCAAGCTGGAAACTTTTTCCTACATTGAAGAAGCAGTCCTGAAAAGACTATCCAACTGGCAAAACTCTTTTCTCTCTCTTGCAGGTAAAGAAACCCTCCTAAAACTGTGCTGGAAGCTTTACCCCTCTATGCTATGTCATGTTTCATTCTACCAAGGTCAATCTGTGACAAACTTGCCAAACACTTTGCTGATTTTTGGTGGAAAAACAAGAAAGAGGGCACTAGAGGGCTACACTAGAAAGCTTGGAACTTAATCACCCTCTCTAAAGAGAAAGGAGGCCTCGGTTTCCATGATATCCATCAAGCCCTAATTGCCAAACAGCTGTGGAGACTGCACAACTACCCAGAGCTCTTGGTCAACAGAGTTCTCAAAGCCAAGTACTATCCTGAATCATCCATTTTCTCTGCAACAAAGAAGAACAATGTATCTTGGCTTTGGGCCAGCTGGAGGAAAACTACAACCTTCTTTACACAAAATGTGCTATTCCAGATTAATAATGGGGCTGAGACTAACATCTGGCATCACCCATGGATACCCTCTCTACCTTTCCTCAAACCTCAGCCTCTCAATCCTTGGCAAGAAAGAGTCACTTGTGTGCAAGAGTTATTAAATGATACAGGGAGAAGATGGAATGTGGAGCTAATGAAGGCCTGCTTTCCAGAAGATGAATGTTCTGCTATCCTTCACATCAAAGGGATGGATCCCAACAAACAAGACAAGCTGTTATGGCTGCACAATAAATCTAGCAATGTAACAGTAGCTGAAGTCTACAAAACCTTGGTTGAGGAAAAATGGAAAAAGCTGGACATCCCCGGTTGCAGCTCACTAGCCAAAGCCAGTCAACAAGCAAGAAACAAGATTTGGTCAACAAAAGTAGCAGACAAGTTACAACACTTCATTTGGAAGTGCTTCAATAACTCCCTGGCAGTCAACAAGGCTCTTTGCAGAAGACTTGAAAATTTTGATCCTGTCTGCAAGCTTTGTGGAGATGAAAATGAATCAATTGAATACCTCTTGTTTCAATGTGCTAAAACAAAAAGAATATGGAAACTGGCTCCAATCACATGGGATGGCCTTGAGGACTGCACCTACTGCTTCAAACAATGGTGGACAAAACTTAGCTCACTTAAGCTCAGTGTCTCAAATGATCACAGAATACAATTCACCATCTACCTCCTTTGGTGGATCTAAAGGCCCGAAACCTTTGGGTTTTTCAGAACTACTGGCTCCCTGAAATCACTATAGTCCAAGCAGCTTCATCAGCATGGATAGAGTTTTGCTCAATCTAATTCCAAGCACAGTGGTTTCTTTTTTCTTATCTCTCCTTTTGCTGCTTTTGCTTTTGGTTTTACTTTTGTTTCTTGTTGTAGTGGTAAATCTGCTAGGTCCTTTGGTTCAGTGGCAGATTTATCTTTTTGGTTGAAGCTTCTCCTTGGATTAGCTCGCTCATTACAATCATCTACCTTGGTCGACATAGCCTCAGCCTATGCCAAGAATAGATGCTTGAAATGATTTTATCTTGTTTATTCTCAAGTCTCCATGTTAGAGTTCCCTGTATTCTGCTTAGATGTAGATATTATTGTAAATATTGAACATTCTCCTTTGTTTTAATATAAAATCTATCGT